ATCTATCTATCTATCTATCTATCTATCTATCTATCTATCTATCTATCTATCTATCTTCTATTTATCTATCTATCTTCTATCTATCTTTCCCTCACCCCCAACACCTTTCTCTATTTCTCTACTCCTCTTCCTTCTAGACGGCTAGAAAAAAACTTCTCTTAAAAGTCTGGCCAAAGCCCTGCAAAAGTAACCCAAGGAAGCGTGGAATTGGGCCGAGAGTTATTTCTCCCAATTCCTCCAGAATAAATAACTCCAAATCCAGCATGCTGGTGTGGAGCCCTTTAAGAAATGCCTCGACCTCCCAGCAGGCAAAGCTCGTATAATGGGAGAGCCAGAGGAAGGAGAACAATCTTAAATTAGATACTACTAACACGCTCAAGTATTTTTTACTCATGACCGGCTGGAGTACAGATAAAGTGGAGGGGGCAGTTTTCCCTCATGATGACCCCAACAGAGGGTTCCCTTCTGGATAATACGTACAGATACAGATTTAACAGATAATCAGAGCTGGAAGGGACCTTGTAGGTCATCTAGTCCAACCCCTTGCCCAAGCAGGAGACCCTACACCGAGGGTGTCAAACTCAAGGCCCGGGGGCCAGATCCGGCCCGCAGGGGGATTAGATCTGGCCCGCAGGGCCACCCTGGAAACGGCGAAAGACTGGCCTGCGGTGCCCCTGACAGCCAAAACAGAACTCGGGTGGGCTGCACACAGCCCGCTTGAGCTCTGTGGTCATTGGCAGAGCGTTACTTCCCGGAGGCCGTTGCAGCCGAAAATGGAGCTCAGGAGCCTGTTTGCTCTGGCCGAGGACTTGGGCCACCACAGGCACCCCTGATACGAGTGATGTTGAGCTGACCACAGCCACTCTGGCCCTCTGAGGTAAAATACAATCCTGATGCGGCCTTCAGTGGTATCAAGTTTGACACCCCTGCTATTATTTTACTATTTATTTGCTAAAGGGCTGGGCCTGGAAAAAACTGCCTTTGCGATTCTTAATCGTGTAAAAAAAAAAGAGAGAGAGAGATTTAAGTTAGCAAATGGTTGTTAAGTCCAGGCAGTCCTCGAGTTACAGCCACAATGGAGCCCCGCATTTCTGCTGCTAAGTGAGAGACCCTTGTTAAGTGACCTTTGTCCCATTTTATGATCTTTCCTGCCATTAGTTGTTAAGCAAATCCCTGCACCAGAACACGGTCGTTAAGTGAATCTGGCTTCCCCATTTGAGGTTGCTCATCAGAAAGTCGCAAAAGGGGACTCCCCCGGGGACACAACGACTGTTATAAATACGAGTCAATTTGCCGACTGTCCGAATTTGGATCAAGTGAACATGGCGATGCTGCGACAGTCATTAAGTGTGAAAAACGGGGCTAACTTTTTGCAGGGCCGTTGTAACTTCGGTCACTATACGAACTGTTGTAAGTCGAGGACCACCTGTGTATAGAAAGTCCCAGCCTCCTGCTCATTGCTTAAAAAGGACCAAGGTTGGTTTAATGGGGAGACAGAGAAAATTACAACCAGGTGGAATAATTAATATTGGGTGGGAATGAGATACAGGCAGTCTGAGATGACCCAAAGGGGCGTGGCACAAAGGCAACACAGTCAGATAAGCAAGAAGAGTCCCTTTATTATCTCCAACTTTGCCCCCAATGTCCAGGTTACCTTCGGGCTGGAGAAAAACTCTCCCAGGAACAGCCTTTGGCTGCAGGAAATTCAGTCCAAAACAGGGTCAACACAAACTGTAACTTAAAGTCCAAACAAACCAAGCTGAAGTAATTAGTTTGACGGGGCAGAAGCAAGAATTTCAGACTGGAAGGCACGTCAAAACTCACACAGTTGGGAAGACGCCAGGAACACAGATAAGCCACGACGATACCAAATAATTCACGATTTGCTCTCAACAGTTTGCTGCGTGCAGCTTCCCTTTTTAAACACTGTGTTTCCAGCTGTAGCTAATGAAGGGAATCAGGGCCCTTTCCTCTCCCATAGGACACGCAACTCACGTTGCTCCCTTCTCCGTTCCTCCCTGCATGTCCTAGGATGAAGAGGGGGTGGGCCTGGGTCTTCCTCTGAAGTCCCTCTCCCTTGTTCTGCCCAGCCGGCCTTTGCCCTTCCCACAGCCAACGGAGCCACCCTCCCAGTCCCTTTCAGCTGTCCGACTTCCTCCTCCGAGCCAGATTCCGACAGGGGCATGATACAATCCTTGACTTACAACTCTTGCTATAGTAACTGTTTGAAGTTGCGATGGCACCGAAAAAAAGTGACTTACAACCATTTCCCCACACATACAAGCCCACAATCACGTGGTCCAAATTCAGAGGCTTGGCAACTGGCACGTACTTATGACGGTTGCATTGTCCCGGGGTCATGTGATCCCTTTTTGTCACCTCCTGACAATGGGGGAGGGGGGAGGAAGCAGTTTCACTTAGCAACCATGAGACTAACTTGACGACTGCAGTGATTCCCTTAACAACGGCGGCAAGAAAGCCCGTCAATCTCAAATAACAGACTGGATTTTAATAGGAAGCGGACTTGGAGCAGGGATGAAATCTGGCCAGTGTTGTGGCCCGCCAGAGGCTGGTGGAGCCGGCGGGCCACAACAGCAGGTGTGGGGGGGACAACCTGGGCCGGGTCTGGAGGCTGAGGAAGGCCTGGAGGAGGGTTCTGCATCAGAGGCAGAGATGGGGTCTAGGGGAGGCTGGCCGTCCTCAGCGGCCTTGGGGCTCAGACAGCAGTGAGGTGGCGGAGCTTCTGGAACCGGTTCCCAGCCTGAGCATGTGCAGAGCTGTCCAAAGGAAGGAATAATTAAGAACTCGGGGTCGACGTGGGAGTAAGGCCACAGGTGAACGATGAATGGCCCCTCCCATCAGGATTAAAAGAGGAGCAAAAGAGGAGGGGGCTTTTGCAGGAAACCACTCGCTCATTCACTCGTTTGTTCGTTCCAGCCTCGGGGAGATTTGTCTGTATAACTGAGCCCTTCCCTGTCAGCACTGAGTGTGGAACTATTTACCGGGCAGCGTTTCAGGATTGATAAAGGTCTGAGCTCACTAGTCTACCTTTGCGGGACTGTTTGCCAAGCTGTTGCCTGGCTGTGAATGAACTACATTCACCTTAATGTAATAAAAGAGGTTTTTTCCGGGAGTCCGAATTGACTGAGTGCTGAACAGCCGCATCCATCAAGCCAACAGATGGTGGGAGGGTCTCCAGGCCCCTCCTCTTATTCCTTGGGCAAAAAAATCTGAGACATTTCTGGAAGCTCTCGACTCTCATTCCAGAGAGGTGACTCAGGGAGTTAGAAGGGCTAATAATATCAAAGTCCAGATGGTGATATTTAAAAACTGGCTTCGCTGCAGGTCCCTTGTAAGGTCCCGTGAAGACCTCTAACAAGGACTTAAAGCTCATTAGCTTTCGCTTTAAATTGGGCTTTAGAGACCGGCTGAAAATTTCTGTGGTGACGAAAACCGTAACAATCTATGTCACTTATTTACATCGATTTATACACATTATTTTTCTGTAACACAGCTAAGAAGCAAGGACTGACTTCCTATTCTTTTTATTCTTCTGGGTGACGTTATTTCAAAAGGAGAACCTCAAAAGTACAGACCGTCCTTAACTTATGACCGCACTTCGCGAAGCAAAATTTCTGTGGCTACACAAAACATTTATCGAGTGAGTTTTGCCCGATCGTACGGCTTTTCTTGGCACAGCTGTTAATCCCTGCAGTTATTATGCTAGTTGTAACGGTTGTTAAATGGATCTGGTTTCCTCACTGACTTTGATTGTCAGAAGGGGAATCACACAACCCTGGGACAACGCAACCCGTCGTAAATATGAGTCAGGGGCCAAACTGTCTGAATTTTGATCCTACAATTGCGGGGATGCTGCAAACAGTCGTAAGTGTGAAACATGTCACTTTTTCAGTGCTGTTGTAATTTTGAACGGCCACTAAATGAACCGTTGTTAAGTCAAGGACTGCCTGTAATCACCTTCTTTTAATGACCCCACAATCCCTTGCAGGGTGGAATCGGGGAAACTGAATGAATGGAGCTGAGTGTTTTACTGGCCAGATGCCCTTCCCGTCACCAGTGCAGAGTTTTGTTCAACCGATATATTCTCATTGTGCCCAGCGAGAGAAAAATATCTGCCGCTACTCACAGCCTCCTGATTGCGAGGTGAGACTTCTACCTCTAGGCCACCCCACCACTCAAGGGCTGCCTGTCATCTGACCTCCAAAATCGCCAGCATTGCCAACCCTCTTTGGTTTATTCCATCCAAAACAGTTTCGGTTTTGAGTTTTAAACACGCAAGTTTTTTTGGAGGAGGGGGGGCGTTCCTCGGAAGTTCACGGTCGACTAGCTGCATCCTACTTTGTCCGAAACACGGTTGGCCCTTGGATGCAAACCAGAATGAAACGGAAGCCGGAGAACTTACCTTCAGCACATCAGTGGGGTTAGCAATGGAAGAGGAAATGACTCCTGACAGAATCCCACACAAGACATTGACAGCCAGAGTTTCGTCTGTTATCAGAGGGGGAAAAAAATTCATTACACTCAAGGTTTATATTTGGGGGTCCGAACTAGTTTTAATTAGACCCTGAAGTTTTCTTGGCACAGGGTTGTTGTTGTTGTTTTTTGGAAGTGTCTTAATACCAGGGGAGTTTTTAAGGAGAAATTGTTTGAGATCTAGGGAAGCAGAAACTAGAACTAAGAAGAAATTTCCTGACAGGGAAAACAATGAATCAGTGGAACGGTTTGCATCCAGATGTTGTGAAAGCTCCAACGCTGGAAGTTTTTTTAGGAAGAGATTGGACAACCATTTGTTTGAAGTGGTGTAGGGTTTCCTGCCTAAGGAGGGGGCTGGACTAGAAAGCCTCCAAGGTCCCTTCCGATTCTGTTGTCCCAAAGGTGCTCTTTTTCAGGAGACAACTGGACTTCTTTGAAGATGCCTCGCTTCTCATCCAAGAAGCTTCTTCAGTTCTGACAGGATAATGGGGAATGGAAGGATTATCCTATCCATGATCCCGTCAGAGCTGAGGGAGCTTCTTCTTCCTGCAACCCAACAGGACAGACACAGACTCCAGGGAGTAATTAGGACTGCAGAAAAAAACAATGGCTACCAACCTGCCTTCCATGGAGGACCTGTATCCTGCACGACTCAAAAAGAGGGCTGTGGAAATATCTACACACCCCTCAGGTGCCGGACATAAACTGTTTCAACTCCTTCCCTCAAAACGATGCTATAGAGCCCTGCACACCAGAACAACTGGACACAAGGAGAGTTTTTCCCCAAAGCCATCACTCTGCTAAACAAATAATTCCCTCAACACTGTCCAACTATTTACAAAGTCTGCATTACTATTACTATTAATCTTCTCATCACTCCTTATCACCCATCCCCTCCCACTTGTGACTGTAGGACTGTCACTTTGTCACTTTATATTGACTGTCTGCTAGTATAATTTGATTGCTTATTGTATCCTATGACTATCATTAAGTGTTGGACCTGATGATTCTTGACTCTTGACGAATGTATCCTTTCTTTTATGCACACTGAGAGCATTTGCAGCAAGACAAATTCCTTGTGTGTCCAATCACACTTGGCCAATAAAAGGAATTCTATCTATCTATCTGGATGAGAAGCAAAATGTCTTCAAAAAAGAAAAAAACCAGAAAGTCCAGGTGCCTCCTGAAAAAAGCACCTTTGGGACTACCATTACTTGGATGACGGAGAATCTCTTACAGACTTCCGCCTGTTATTCTCTTAGCTGACCCCCTGCATTAAAACTCTTCTAGTTTCCTACATTCTCTGCTCCGACCTCTCTTTATCTTTGATCTAAGAAATGCAGCTTGGATCTGGGAGGTTGGGGGCAAATACCTGCTTACCTTCTGGCCGTTCGATAAATATCCTTTTCAAGCTCTGATAAGTGCCTATTTTTATGGTCCCGTAAGAGGCCTGGCGCAGCATAGCCGGTGCTATTCTGCAAGAGGAAAACACAGGCATTAATAAAATCAGCGGTCTGGCAAAAACTCCAGTCGCTTAGTTACAATCTTTGCAAGATACAAATGGAATGCACATTTGGTTCCAAACTGATGCATTGCTCTTTCAAATTCCCCCCGTCCCTTCTGTTCATGGCAACTCTAAAACAAAAACTATTTAACAACCTAGAGACACGCCTGCACATTTCAACAATGCACAAAACAGACAAGGTCTTACCCAGAGTATAAAGCTTTCAATCCTTCTTCCCTGAATATTTTCACTAACGCATGAAGCATTCCACGGTAGCGGATGTCTTTATGCTTGGCGTCGATTTTCTGCCCTTGGATCTGCAGCCGTGTTTTCGTCAGATCGATTGGGAAAGTACCTTCATGCCCAAGAGAAAATTGGTTAGTTTGTGAATTATAAATTTTATAGAATTGCATACGTTCCAGAATGAAGCAAACCTAATGTCAAACTCATAAAACAAGCCTGTTTTAGTAGTTGCCATAAAAAAAAAGGAGGGAAGGAAATCTGGAAGAGCAGTCTGAAAGCAAAAGTACATTGTGTGAAGACCCAAAGGGACCTGGCACAAAAGTAACAAAGTCACAAAAGTAGGTAAAGTCCCTTTAATGCCTCCAACTTGGCCCCCAGTGTCCAATTATTTTCAGCTGGAGAAAAAATTCTCCCAAGAACAGTCTTTAAAGGGAAGAAATTCAGTCTGAACCCAAAGTATAGATAAATTATAAATAACAACCAACACAAACCACGCTGCAGCAATTAACGGGATAGGGCAGGAAAAGGAATTGCAGGCTTCAAAGAATAACAAAACACACAGAGTTGGGAGGACGCAAAACCCCAGATAAGCCTCAACAAACAAAGATAATGCACGCTTTGCTTCCAGCAAGGTGCTGTGCACAAACGCCCTTTTAAAATCCTGTTTTTCCAGCTGCAGCTAATGAAGGGAATCAGGGCCTTTTCCTTTCCCGTAAGCCACACAACTCACATTGCTCCCTTCTCTGTTCCTCCCTGCATGCCCTAGGATGAAGAGGGGGTGGGTCTGGGTCTTTCTCCGAATGCCCAGCCGGACTGTGCCCTTCCCCAGTTTCCTCCACAGCCAACAGAGCCACACTCCCACTCCGTCAGCTGTTCGACCTCCCCCTCGGAATCAGATTCCAACAGGGGCATGACACATCCCAACTCTTTATCTTTAAAAGATTATAACTAAAATACCAGAGTTTTTGCCCGCGAATATATTTAATTGGAGAACGTGAATGATGACACCTCACCCGTGAAGGGGCTCAGTTGGAGAATCTGATTTATGACACACCAGGCGGGGAGAGGGAAAACAGGGTCACGGGGGATTGGAAATGATGTAGGCCAGAGTTGGCTTGCTGTCAGGATTCCAGAATCGCTCTAATTAAACCATGATTCTCGAGCCAAACTTCAAAAAACTTCAGAGGATTCATTAGAGGTGACATACTGGCACATTCCCTATATGTGGTAGCATAGGATGGTTTTGATCCATCAACCTCTGGGTTATGGCCCAACACACTTCCGCTGCGCCACTCTGCTCTGGTTTCCGACATAAATTGCACAGAATATACATGCGTGTTTGTGTGTGGTGTGTGCACGTGTGCACATGTGCCTGTTTAAATAACCTGCATACCCAGGATGGAGGGGGCCCTTAAATTTATAAACATAGCTAATTTCATTAAAAATAAAAATATGCTTTTATCAAACCCTTCAAACTATCTATAATTTATCAAATCATCTATTAAACCCTTCAAATTCTCTATAATTCAAATCCTCCATCAATTCGCTATTCCCCATTCCGTTGTCTGCTAGAATAACTGGATATTGTTGTTATTGTATATATGCCAGAGTTTTGTTCAAGGCACTATGAATATTTGAAGTGTGAAACACACACACATACAAAACTATTAACAATAACAAATAATGTTATTATTACAAATGATGTTGAAAGAAAAATAGGAGCCATAATTGCATTCCACAGGCTGGGAGCAAGCTTTAGTACATTCCTAGCAAGATATGATAATATTCTGACTGCTTTTGCAAACATCTAGTTACGCTGGAGACTTAGAAATTTTGTTTCTGTGCTAAAGTATTAATTTCCTGCCTTTGATATATGTAATAAAAAAAAACTGGATACTTCCTTACTTTTCTCCTTTCCCCATTTTATACTGTATCAAAATTCAATCACAATGTAGATCTACTTTGAAAGAAACTTAGTTTTAAGAAAGTTAAAATTCCCTTTTTCAGAAATATGTCTTCCTTTTAAAATTCCATTTTTAAAACTCAAAATTTATAGCTCAGCAGAACCAAATTCCTCGTGCTGAAAAGGAAAATTTATGAGTTGCATTTATGAGTTGCAATGTAATTGAGGTCCCTTAACTATGCTTTTAAAATAAGGTTTATCTCCATAACGATTAAGGCCACATTTCATTACCCAACTAAAAAAAATATTTCATTCATGGTTTGCAAGCAAATTACCAACTTCCAACTTCTTCAACCTTGAGATACAGCTATTGAATTATTTTGCTCATTCCAATATTTTTGCTTATGAAAACCTGACACCTTTTAATTACAGAAATAGGGATACAAGCACAATATAGGTCACTCTTGATGTATAACGGTTCGCTTAGTTTGAAGTTGCAACACCACTGAAAAGGACTTATGACTGTTTTTCACACTTATGACCACTGTAGTGTCTCCACGGTGATGTGATCAAAATTCAGGCGCTTGGCAACTGACTCGTACTTACGACAGTTGCAGTATTCTGGAGTCATTTTTGCAAACTCGGGAAACTAGAGCAACTTTGTTAACAACTGCCGTGGTTCGCTTAACAACTCTAGCAAAAAAAAAAAAGGTCAGATCATGAGGCAAAATTCACTTAACAAAGGTCTCATTTAGCCACAGAAATGTGTGGCTCAATTGTGGCCGTTAAGTCGAGGACTTTTAAAAAAGTGAACAGGTTGCAAAAGCATTAAATTAGATGTTGGCCCCTCTCTTGCAGGATCAACTTTAGTTACACACAGTTAAATAAGCAAGAAGAGTCTCTTTAATTATCTGCAACTTTGCCCCCAATGTCCAGGCTAACTTTGGCTGGAGAAAAACTCTCTCAGGAACAGCCTTTAAATAGAGAAAATCCAGTCCAAAACAAGGTTCACACAAATTGTAACTTAAACGCCAAACAAACCAAACTGAAGTAATTAGCTTGACAGGCCAGGAGTAGGACTTTCAGACTTCAAAACATGGCAAAACTCACACAGTTGGGAAGACACCAGGAACACAGATAAGCCTCGATGATACCAGATAATTCACAATTTGCGCCCAGTAAGTTGCTGTGTGCAAACTCCCTTTTTAAACACTGTGTTCCCAGCTTCAGCTAATGGAAGGAATCAGGGCCCTTTCCTCCCCCGTAAGCCATGCAACTCACGTTGCTCCCTTCTCCATTCCTCCCTGCATTCCCTAGGATGAAGAGAGGGGTGGGCCTGGGTCTTCCTCTGAACTCCTTCTCCCTTGTTCTCCTTCTTCCCTGCTCTGCCCCACCGGACAGTGGCCCTTCCCCAGTTTCTTCCATAGTCAACGGAGCCACACTCCCATTCCCTGTCAGCTGCTTGGCCTCCCCCTCCGAGTCAGATTCCGACAGAGGCATGACACTGAGCTTGCAAGGACTTTAGTGCCAAGGCCCGTCGGCGTGCAAGGAGTCAGTTCCAAGTTCATTAAACACCTGCATTGGGCAGTTTTCTAAATTAGCAGTAATCTCTCATCTGATTATCTCACGAGTTCAAATACCTACCACATTCTGCAGTGATGGAAGCCAGGCCTCCGTAGACGAATGGCTTCCAGTTCAAAGCCGCCATGCTCCTGAGTGACTCCTCCCTCTGCAAGAGACAACAGAACAACAATGACATACGGTTCTTAAAAGCATCCTCCTGGTAGGGCAGGGATTGGTCCGTGTACAGCCCTCCAGACCCCCTGAACGTCCCCGAAGGATGTCCTTGACTTACAGTAGTTTGCTGAGTGACGTTTGAAGTTACAGCAGAATAGAATATAGAATAGAATTCTTTATTGGCCAAGTGTGATTGGATAGAGAATAGAATAGAAAGGAATGGAATATAGAATAGAATTCTTTATTGGCCAAGTGTGATTGGATAGAGAATAGAATAGAAAGGAATGGAATATAGAATATAGAACAGAATAGAATTCTTTATTGGCCAAGTGTATTGGATAGAGAATAGAAAGGAATAGAAAAACCTCATACATAACAGTCCTGGAAGGACTTCGAGTCCAAACTGGCAAACAAGAACATTTTCCTAAAATTTCCCCAAAACACGGATAAAATGGAGAAGACGAACCAGAAAAATAATCTTCCAATGCATTTTCTCTTTGATGCTAAAATTTTCTGCCAGGTAACTTTGTTTGAGCTTTTAAAAAAATGTGAACTTGAATATCAGATTCTATCTTTTTATCTCTCACACTCATGCAAATGCATGATTCCTGATATTCAGAACAATCAACCAGTGGAAGAGCTTGCCACCAGAAATTGTGGGTGCTCCATCACTGGAGGTTTTTGAAGAAGAGACTGGACGGCCATTTTGTCTGGAATCTTATAGGGTCTCCTGCCTGAGCAGGGAGGGTTGGACTAGAAGACCTCCAAGGTCCCTTCCAACTCTGTTATTAATACTGTACTCTGTTTTGTATTCTGTATTCTCTTTTTTTTTTAATTGCTTACTAAAAAACCAAAAAACTTGTCCCGGGAAACTTTTCCAGGATCACACTTCTCAGGACACCTCTCGACAACCAGCAGCCAACAATTTCAGCTTAGCTCATTTCAAAATCAGGATGTGAACTTTAGCCTGTCTCCTGATAGCTTTTGATCACGCAGTGCCCACCCGTCTCTCTCTCTCTCTCTCTCTCTCTCTCTCTCCCTCCTTCTCTCTCTCTTTCTCTCTCTCTCTCCTTCTCTCTCTCTCTTTCTCTCTCTCTCTCTTTCTCTCTTTCTCTTTCTCTCTCTCTCTGAATTTTCATGCTGACCCTCATCTATTGCAGCCGACCCTGTTCCTTAAAGGTCTTCTAGTCCAACCCAGAGTGAGAAACATAGAATGCTAAGGTTGGAAGGGACCTTAGAGGTCTTCTAGTCCAGCCCAGATGGCAAGAAACATAGAATAGCCCACCCTCCTTTCTCATGGCTGCAACTTTCTCTCCCCAGCCCCCCCCTCTCAAAACCCAAGTCAAGGAGAACCAATCCAGCCCTCGGGTGTCTGCACTGATCTTGGAATCACGTGCAGGTCTTTGCAACTAGGTTGTGTGGGTTTACACAACAGTGCAAACCAAACAAACCACATCCCGCCCCCCCTTTCTAGCCCTGTCTTGTTTTCAAATCAGCCACCCAAACTTCATTCCTGCCAATATCTTATCTTCTCGTTTGAAAGATAGGAAAGCTTTCCATGGGTCAAATTTCCATTTTTACATGAGATCAGCCTTGGCTCATGGTAACCGTGATCTTACAGCTTTCATTATAAAGGACAGTCCTTTATTTTAAAAAGAAAACTTAGGTTTCTTTTTCAAATCTTCGTTCTTGATTTGGGTCATTTAAATGGGACAGAACCAACAGTACCACTTAAGGCACAGGGGTTTTTTTTTTTTAACATTCCTGTGAAAAATATGGAAACAGAATTACCATTGTTTAAAATAAGTTTTTGGAGTTTAGATATTACAATATGCCCTTTTGTAAAGTTTTTTTTCCTCTTTAATTTTCTTTTTTTTAAAGGCAAAGTTATTATTACAAGCAATTAATTTTCTTTTAATTCTTGTGGAATCTCTTTTCACCTTTATCCTTTATTATGCCATATATAGTATGGTCATTGTACCTTTAAGAAAACATTATACAGTATGACACAATTGTACAATAAATTGTATATTAGGCAATATACAACATGGTTCTTGTACCTTTAGGAAAACACCCTATGGAACATAAAATGCCTCTAGCATTACATCTATTGTTCTTCCATTTATGCCTAATGTTCTTTTCCAGAATATTTTATGGACATGATGTCTATTTTTATCCAACTGTGCTGGTCATCTGACAAATGAGCTTAACCGTATCAGTAGTAGACTTAAAGGCATCAAACCTTAAACCCCCTTAGGGTCAAAGCTTGCTTTAGTTCTTTGGAGGCTTAGAGTGTCAAAAGAAACAAGCCAATTTGGTTCCTTTATTGGGTCAGAGTGCTGTGTGAACCTCCTTCTCTTATAAAAATAAAAAATAAACCGAATATTCTTGACATACTGCAAATACCTATTTGAGCACCAATAAAAAGCAAACCTTGTTCAATTAAACTGGGTTCCTGGGGGATACCCCAGCACCATCCAGTGGAGGGGTGTTTTTTTTAATTTATTTTTTAATTTTAATTATGAGAATACAACGCAATACATCCAACTTAACCTTGTTATACACATATACATTTGACTTCATTTATAATCTCCTTATTTAATATATTAATTTCTAATTAATCTAATCACAACTACTAATGTTTCGACCTTGTCTTCTGCTATATAACCATTGATAAAATTTATTCCATGTTTTATCATATTTAGACTCTCCTTTGTCTTTTATTTCTAAAGTTAACTTATCTGATTCTGCACATGCCATAATTTTTCTTATTATTTCTGTTTCTGGAGGTATGATTTCATTTTTTTTCCAGTATTGTGCATATATTATTCTAGCCACCATCAATACGTGTACTATTGAGATACATTATTTCCTTCTTAAATTTTTCTGATATTATCCCTAGGAGAAAAAAAATTGCAGTTCAAACGGACCGGAAACACAACTTACCACCCCAAGTGAGCCCAACATTTCAGTTGCTAAGTGAGTTGGCTGTGAAGTGAGTCCCTACCCCCACCCCAATTTTATGGCTTTTCTTACTACTGTGGTTGTATAATTTTTCTTCAAAGGTTCTTTATCTTTCGGTTGTTAGGTGAATTGCCTCCATTGCTGAGTGAGTCCCACAAACCCGGCTTTTCCCCGTGGAATCTTCTTGTCAAAAGGTCAAACCACAGGAGGCTGCAACCGTCGTAAGTACATGCCAGTTGCCAAGCCTTGGAATTTGGGTCGTGTGACCTGGGGAATCCATGCCACAAAGGGTCACCAAAAAACATGAAAAAAAAGGACTTAAAGGACTTAAAGAGATTAAGCAGATAATCAGAGTTGGAAGGGACTTTGTAGGTCATCTAGTCCAACCCCCGCCCAAGCAGGAGACCCTACACCATTTCTGACAGAGGGCAGTCCAAGCCTCCCACAACTTCTATTGTAACCTTGAAGGGTTGGAAGCCGAGAACTACCTTTCAAGGCCGGTTGTGCCCTTTCCTTTGGGACTCCCCCCGGGGCTTTCCTCGTGGTCTCCCATCTCGCGGCTCACCTTTTCCACCAGCCACTGCAACAACCAGGTGTAATTTAGCATCGGGGCCGCTGAAAGGGCCCCTCCGCCGCCTAGCAAAGCGGGAGGCGAGCCGGCTCTTCCTCCTCTCCCGCCAGGGTGTCCCGCCGAGGCAGCTCGGACAGCCGGAGGAGGAGGAGGAGGAGGAGGCGGGGAGCGCCCTCCGCCAGGCAGGTGGGGCCCGAGAGCCGGCCGGCCGGCCTGGTTTTGCAAGCGGGCGCCCGCGAGCTGGCTTGGCGAGAGCGGCGGCTGCTCCCTCCCCAGGCGGAGGCTTTGCAAAGGAGCCCCGGGATTGGGAAGGCTGGCCAGGCGCCCAGCCCGACCCCCCCCCCCGGCCACACACCCCTCCACCCCGGCCTCACTTACCGGCCAGCCTCCCGCCGAAGCGCCCGCCGGACCCTGGGCAGGCAGCGGCCAGGAGGGGGAGGCGGGAAGCGAAGGAAGGGAAGGGAGGGACAGAAGGAAGGCAGGAGCTCACAGAAGCCGCCGCCGGCCTGGCCTCCCCCGCCGATCGCTGGGCGCTCCTCCCCGGGGGACCCGGCGAGGAAGAAAGAGAGAGAGAGAGAGAGGGAGAGAGACGCCCTGGCCCCCGGCGGAGGCATCTGGAGGGAAAGAGGGCGCGCGCGCGCGCGTGTGTGTGTGTGTGTGTGTGTGTGTGTGTGTGTGTGTGTGTGTGTAAGAAAGAGAGAGAGAGAAAAGAGACAGAAAGAGAAAGAAAAAAGAAAGTGAAAAAGAGACAGAAAGAGAAAGAAAAAGACAGAGAAATAAATAGGGAAAGAGAAAGAGAAAGAAAGGAAAAGAGACAGAAAGAGAAAAAGAGAAAGTGAAAAAGAGAGAAAGAAAGAAAAAGAAACAGAAAGAGAAAAAGACAGAGAAAGAAAAAGGGAAAGAAAAAGAGAAAGGAAAAGAGAGAGAAAAAGAAAGTGAAAAAGAGAGAAAGAAAGAAAAAGAGAAATAAAAAGGGAAAGAGGAAGAGAAAGAAAAGAGACAGAAAGAGAAAAACAGAAAGAGAGAAAGGGAAAGGGAAAAAGAAAGAAAAAGAGACAGAAAAAAAACAGAAAGAGACAGAAAGAAAAAGAGACAAAGAGAAAGGAGAAAGTTGGAAAAAGAGAAAAAGTCAGAGAAAGAGAAAGGAAAGAGAGAGAGAAAGACAGAGAAACAAAAAGAGACAAAGAAAAAAAAAGGAGAGAAAGAGAGAGTCAGAAGGAGGAAGAGAGACAGACAAAGAAAGAGAAAAAGAGAGGTGGGGGGAAGGAAAGAGACTGGGAATCTCCACCCAGTGGAGCCAAAGACGGCAAAGGAAGAGTAATAGGTAGCTCAGCTTCCTACTAACCAAAAGTGGCCCTTGTGATGAAGAAATGCATGGGCTGTAGAGAAGTGATTTGCCCTGTTTTCTTCCCAAATTCTCTCTCTCTCTCTCTCTCTCACACACACACACACACACACACACACACACAATATCTTGCACAGTCAGATTACTGATGCTTTTTAAGAAGAGACTGGACAGCCCTTTGTCCCCGGAATCATATAGGGTCTCCTGCCTTGAGCCAGGGGGGTTGGACTAGAAGACCTCCAAGGTCCCTCTTCCAACTCTATTATTCTGTTAATTTTTCTGTTAAAAGCAGAGGTTTCGGATGACATTATCCCATGTTTGGACATACTCAGGATGGTTTTATATGTCTAAAGTAAAGGAACTAAATGTCAAAAAACGGACACTCATTCTTTCTCAAGACTTTGCTGTTTGTTAGTCAATATTACTTCCAATACAGCTAAAATGTGTTTTGTTTTTGGAAGTAGCACAGTTTATTTTTCCAATGTTTTGCATACCTCCCAAAGTTTCTCCTGGCTAGCTGATCAGGACGATATTTTCGGAGAGCCCGTAAAAATCCAGCTTTTCCAGGGGAAGCATCAGTCAGAGGGCACTACCCACTGCAAATTAAATGCATAATTATATACAGTGTTTATCCTTGTTAGTTTTACTCCAGGGCTGCATGATTCCTCCAGATTGTTCCTGTGATGTTGTCAAAAAACAGGCTTTCAAATCTATTTACTACCCAGATAGTCTCCAAGCTGACATCCTTCCAGTTCATCTACCAAGTTCTTCTTTGTCTCATTCTTCCCCAAAAGATTTTCAGGGGAGACTTGGAAAAAGAAGTTTGAATGAAACTGAAGCCTTTTTGGTTTTAAACTTTTAACATTGTTAATTTTCTTCTTCAGAAAGTTTCCAAAGATACAATTTGCCATTTGAACTCGAGTTGGAACTAATTTTTTTTTTTTGCAACCTTCTTACCATTTTTTTTAAATGGCATTGAAAAAAAAGTGACTTTGGACTGTTCTTCACACTTTATGTTGGGAGTTAAAACTGACCCCTCTCCTAGGAAAATGAAATATTTTAGGATATACTAAAAAGGTAGAATATTTTCCCTAAAAAGAAAAGTAGAAACTTGGAGAGGCAGAAACTTAGCCACCCGCACCTTTGCTAATGGACTATTACTCTGGCCTAGGCCAGTCTATTTTACATAACAAAGATCTACTCCAGATAGAGCTATAATAGGAATTGCCCAAAGCCCATTCATTACATCATCACCCAGCAAGGCTCAACCAAGCCTGGCACTCAGGACAGCCTACAGAGTTGCCCCTGCATGACCCCACGGGAGCCTGACAACCAATCAGAACAACAAGCTCAAATACAAATCCCAACAGAGGGTATAAAATCCAGGGACTCTCTACATCTCTGCCCTTTTTCCTTCACCCAACATCTTGAAACATGTGGTCGTCTTTTTCACTTTGGAGTTCCAAGCCATGTGGTCCTGTCCTGTCCACCATTAAACCACCTTTCCAAACAGCCCTACATGTTTCCAATGTCTTCCTCCCCCAACTTGGAACCCAGAAGGGTCATTTTTCCAACACTTACGACCGTTGTAGCATCACTTGAATCAAATTCAGATGCCTGGCAACTGACTCACATTTGTGACATGATCTCAGGTCATGTCATGCCGGAAGGTTTTGTGACCTTCTAGCCAGCAAAGTCAGTGGGGGAAGCTACATTCACTTAAGTGAGATAGTTGTGAAGTTTTGCCCCATCTAAAACATATGAAGAACGGTTGCAGGAACCGGGCCTGGCTAGTCTTGTGAAGAGAAGAACCAGGGGAGGCAGGAGGGCAGTCTTCCAAGATTTGAGGGGCTGCCCCAGAGAGGAGGAAGGGGGTCAAGCTATTTTCTAAGGCACCTGAAGGCCAGGCAAGGAATAATGGATGGAAACTGAACAAGGAGAGATTCAACCTGGAAATAAGGAGAAACTTTCTGACAATGAGAACAATCCACCCATGGAACAGAAGTTGCCTTCGGAAGTTGTGGGAGCTTCATCACTGGAGGCTTTCAAGAAGAGACTGGACTGCCATTTGTCAGAAATGGTGTAGGGTTTCCCGCTTGGGCAAGGGGGGGTTGGACTAGATGACCTACAAGACCCTATGACCTGCCTTGCCACATTTTAAAAGTGAAATACTGCAATGGTTAAGTGAGTCACGACCATGTGACTGACTTAACCATTGCAGTATTTCACTTTTAAAATGTGGCAAGGCAGGTCATAAGATGGCACAAAACTCACTTCATAACTGTCTCAGTCAGCAACCCAAATGTTGAGGCTCCATTGTGGTCATGAGTCGAGGACTTAATGGACGTAACTCGCTTCTAATTTGCCCTCCTGGAAGATTTCGATTGCAAAGCCTGCCATGAGGATTTTTACCAGCAGCAGACAATTCAATTTAAATTTAAATGTAAATGCAAATTCTCGGTCATTGTTGTCTCATAGGTGCTTATTCAAAAGGCGACTGGATTGGAGTTTTTTTTTTTCCTCCTTGAGGAAGAATTTAATTCATTTACAATTAAATTAAGGATTTATTCAATGTAAATTTCTCTGTAGCCTGGCCAGATTGAAAAGAAATAATGCAAGTATTTAGACACTGCAATCCACTCTGAGATGCTTAAGGGTCCTCCCTCCGAGGCAGAGAGAGATAATATAACCCTAATTTCTAGGACTACATAAACAACTCCAAAGGATCATGGGTTTCATTTTCCTTGGGGCGGGGTAGGGTGGCTCGAATCCTGACAAAAGGAACCCGGAAACAGCGCTTCCCTTTTTTGCGCTTGAGCGAGTCTACTTTCTTGCTTCTAGAGGCACGGGAAAGAGGGCGGCCGGCGTGCGTGCGTGCCTACGTCACAGTTTCGTGCGTCATGAGGAGCGCGGCGATTGGCGACGCACGGATGGCAGGGACGTGCCCTGCTGGCTATATGAGCTCCGCGGAGGCGCCTCCTCGGCCTTTTTCCGCCTCGTTCTTCGCTCGCGCCGGGGGCTGCCGCCACTAGCGCTCTTCCACCCGACCTGCCGCCGCCGCCCGCCCGCCGCCTCAGCCATGATCATCTACCGCGACTGCATCAGCCGTGAGCCCGAATCCCCTTCGCGCCGCTTTTTTTTTTCCTTCCCCCACCCTTTGAATCTTACGGGAGGGTGGGGGAAGGGGGAGGAGGAGGAGGAGGAGGAGGCCCCCCCGCGGCGCCGAGTGCGCCTGCGCGGCCTGGCATTCCAAGCCGGGGAGCGCGCGCCGGACTCACCCTCGGACTGCGCCTGCGCTCCTCCGTCCTCGAGCGCTAGCGCCTAGGAAGGAAGGAAGGGAGGGGAAAAAAAAAAGGAAGCCAGGGCCTTGTCGACGACCCCCCCCTCCCCCCCCCCCGTACCCAGACGGCGCTCCATTGTCTGCGCATGTGTGTCGCCAAGGCGCCGGCCGGGCCGCCGCCCGCACTGCGCTTGCGCGAGAGGCGGAGGGGGGAAGATAGATGAGTGCGGCGGCGCGTCGAAGCCGCCGGCCGCCTCTAGAGGGCGACAAAGGCTTGGATAGTATGGGAGCTGTAGCCCCCTGTTGGCCGTGCGGGGTATTGCAGGCTGAAATATTTTTTTTGATTTTTTTTCTCCCCTCCATCTTTGGAGGTTTTAAAAGAAGAAATAGGACAACCATTTGTCTGGGAAGGGTGTAAAGTCTCCTGTTTAAGCTGGGGGATGGACTAGAGGCCCTCTAAGGATCCTTCCAACCCTATTCTGTGTTTCCAGGCTGTGGGATTTGGGGAAGGCCTGATTTTGGGGGGCGCCCTGGTGGTGATGGTGGGGTCTCCCTTTGACAGCCAAAGTTACCTGTGGGAACAGGTGGGGCCTACCTGGGTTTGAAGCTTCCCCTTTGCAACCTGCAGGGTTTTTTTTTAGAAGCTCTTAGGCTGCAAAAGTAACACTGATGGTGGTAAAGGGTGAGTCTTGGGCGTGGCACGTGGGGGGAGCGTGACTCCCCCCACCTGGCAGATCCGGGGGGGCTGATGACCTCTAAGGACCCTTCCAACCTTATCATTCTGTGCTTCTAGTTTTCTTGCGGGGGGGGAGAGTTTGGGCAAGGCCTGCTGTTGGGTGTTGCCTGGCTCCCAATTTGGCACCCTAGCAAAAATAATGGTGGTGGTGAGGGTCTCCCTTTGACTGACAGCCAAGGTGACCTATGGAAACGGGCCTACTTGGCTCTGGAGCTTCTCCTTTGCAACCGGCTGGCTTTTTTGGAAGCCCTTAGGCTGCAGAAGTAAAATGGTAGTAATGGTGGGTCCTCGTCCTGCCACGTGGTCAGGGAGCGTGGCTCCCACTGTTTGGCAGACCCAACGGGCTGGACTAGGAGACCTCCAAGGACCCTTCCAATCTTAGAATTCTATGCTTTTCTCGCCCTCTGGGCTGTGGGAGTTTGGGGAAGGCGTGACTCCCCTGCCCTGTGGTTGTGGGAACCTGGGGGTGCGGTGGCTCCTGATGGGGGAAGAACAAAGGGGTGGGCGGGCTTCAAATCTGTTTCCCCTCCCCAAGGTAGGGGAGAACGGTGCAAGGTACCCACTTGCCAGGCTGCTGGTGGATATCGATGTGGGCCGAGTTTGGGAGAAGGTTGGTGGGCCAAGCTTTCTCTTTTCTTCCTCTTGCAGAAGATGAGATGTTCTCAGATATCTACAAAATCACAGAAGTTGCCAATGGCCTCTGCCTGGAAGTGGAAGGCAAGGTAGGTGAGAGAGCTGGGCCTCTGGTTGGCTGCATTGGGGCACAGCTAGTCCTCAACCTACGGCCACAATGGAGCCCCAAACCTGCATTGTTTAAATGAGAAAACCAATTAAGTGCATTTTGTCCCCATCTTACGTTCTTCCTTGCCTTCCTCCCTTGTTAAAAGTGAACCGCTGCCGTTAAATTAGTAACCTGGCTGTTGTGAATCTGGGTTCCCCCTTGACTGGTCGCAAAAGGGGATCCCAGGACACTGCCGCTGTCATAAGTGCGGGTCAGTGGCCAAGCATCCCAGTTTTGATCATGTGGCTGTGGGGATGCTACAGCGGTTATAAGTGTGAAAAATGGTGGCAAGTCACTTTTTTTTCAGTGCCATGGTAACTTTGGCCTGGCAAGTAGGCGGCTTCCTGGAATTACCATCTAATATATTTTAATTATTAGAACAAGAGGTGCTTTTGAAAGGAATTAAACCAAATTCTGGGTTGAATTTGAAGAGGATAAGCAGCTGTTCTGACCTAGGCTTCCCCAACAGCACGAAGCCGATTCCTCGTCCCGATAAAACCCCTTTTATTTAGTTTACAGTGAATTCCTCTCCAGCAAAGTCCCAGCCAACAGTCTTTCCAGAGATTTCCCAATTACCTTTATCAGGCTTGGAAAGTTGCCAGGCTGATACCTTTCAGACGCCACACTGTAGCAGACAATAATTAGCAAGACTGCAGGAACAAGATCTTCACCCAAATGAACTAATTGTCTCCCGCAAAACCCCAATCCCCTTTTGCTCCTCTTTTATTCCCTATGGGAGGGGCCATTCACCATCAACCTGAGCCTTTACTCCCAAGTCTGCCCTTGTCCCTCAGCTGTTCCCTTCTGGCAGCTCTGCACATGTGCACACGGAACAGGCTCCAGCTGTTCTTCTTCCCCACTGATCTCCGACGGCAGCTGATAACAGTCAGATGGCGCTTCCTCCATCTCTGCCTCCGACGCAGAACCTTCCCCAGACTTCAGGACTGGCCCTTGTTCTCCCGCAACCTCCTCACTGTCTGAATCTTCCACGGGCCACTGGTGGGCCACAACAGCAGCCTTTATATGACCCGAATTATCCAGAACACACGTTTTCCGACTTGTTTGGATGAAACAAAGGGGTTTCTAACGGGATAGCTTGTTTCGCAATCCTTAATATATCCCTTGTCTTATTTTCAATCTCTCAGATGGTCAGCAGGAAAGAGGGTGAAATTGACGAAGCCCTGATTGGGGGAAACGCATCCGCTGAAGGCCCCGAAGGGGACTGCACAGAGGCCACCGTCATCACCGGGGTCGACATTGTCATGAATCACCACCTCCAGGAAACCTCTTTCACCAAGGAGTCTTACAAGAAATACATCAAGGACTACATGAAGTCGTAAGTGGGGCCTCCTCTAGAGGTCGAGTGAAGCGCGTCTGCCGTCCTTCCGAAAAGCTTGTCCCGAAAAGTGTTTTTTTTTTTATTTTCAGAAGGCAACTGGGACTTTCTCGTGTTTTTTTTTTTCATTGAAGACGTTTCGCTTCTCATCCAAGAAGCTGCTTCAGCTCGGACAGGATGGTGGGGAAAGGGAAGGATTGATACGCCTTGGAGACAGCTGGTCATTTGCATCCTTTTTAGAGGGTCCTTGAGGCCACTTGGAGGTTTATCTGTGTCTTCAGGGTTCACCCGAGTCCCTGTAGTCTGCATTTTTTTTTCCCCTTCTGGAGATCCATTCCTACTCCCACCCAATTCCAAGGGGGTTCGTCCCAAATTGTGAAGCTAAAAGTCTGTGGAGAGTCTCCATCTTCCAGGCCATGGTTATCCCAAAGGTGCTCTTTTTTCTTCAGGAGGCAAGTGGACTTTCTTGTTTTTTTTTTCCTTTTGAAGACGTTTCGCTTCTCATCCAAGAAGCTTCGTCAGCTCTGACTGGATGGTGGAGAATGGAAGGATTTCTATTCCTTGTAGACAGCTGGTCAGTTGCAGTCTTTTACAGAGTCCTTGAGGCCACTTGGAGGATTATCTGTGTCCTCAGGGTCCCCTGAGTAGTGCAAATGGGTGTGGAGCCGCCTTGGAATTCCACAGACCTTTTCAGCAGTTCCAAGAAGCCCCCAGACCTATTTTTGTACCACTCAGGGGGCCATGAGGACACAGATAAACCCTCCAAGTGGCCTCAAAAAAATGTGCAAATGACCAGCAGGGAGTATCAATCCTTCCCCGCCATCCAGTCAGAGTTGATGAGAAGCAAAACATCTTCAAAGAAAAACAAGAAAGGCCAGTTGCCTCCTGGAAAAAGAAAAAAAAAAAAAGGCCCTGAGCATGTCTAGAGAGTTTTGGAAAGCGTGTAAAAGGCAGCCTGCCTGCCCTTCATGGATCGAACGGGCTGCTGTACACGCTGGCTGTATCGGATAAGTGGGATATCTATAATTTGTAGATCAGGTCAGATAAAAACAAAACAAAACCTTTGTTGCTGGTAGGTTTGGAGGTTTGGGTTAGGTGCAGGTATCCCTCGACGTAAGGACGACAATTTTGGAGCCCCAGCCTCGTTGCTAAGTGAGGCACTTAAGCGAGGCTCTCTCCGTTTTATTAGCTTTCTTGCCCCCCTCTCCGTGGTTAAGCGAGTCGCTGCATTTTGCATACAAGTGAATTAGTAACTCAGTTAAGTGAATCCATTGGCGTGGACGCTGGGGGAAAACATTGCAACCATCCTGAGTCCCTGCCAGTTGCTAAGCCTCTGAATTTTGATCACGTGACCACGGGGATGGCTGCAACGGTTGCTGAACGTGAAAAGCAATCCTAAGTCACTCGTTTCGGTGCCCCTCTTAACTTCGAATGGTCACTAAATGAATTGTTACAAGTCAAGTACTTACCTGTAGTTGCGCCTCAGGTAGTTAGGCAGGGAGGAAAGAGAGCAGGCCTTGCATCTATTCTAGTTAAGAATTTGCACTCCTGGCTTTATTAGTGATTATTCAGGCACCAGGATAGAGGGAGTGTTCACCCACAGCCGCAGCAAATTATGGCATAGATTCCATTGCACAAACAGCACAATTGTTTAATAAGACGCGTGTCGGTTCCATCACGTGTGCTTGATATCGCGGTCATTGCTGACATTCTCCGGCATGGCTCAGGCCGATAATTCTATGCCACTGCAGCTTTTGTGGCAGGGTGGATTTGATTTAAATCAAGTCGACTGAAGTCACCAGTTTAGAAAGGCCTCGATTTAAACTGAACTCCATTTTCAACCATAATTTTTAAAGAGCGACTGTCCTCTCCGCCGCAAAATTGTGTGAATGCATCGATGCGGTGCGTGTTAATCTCAGCTTGCAGAGCTTGGATTCATTGAGTGGGTTGATGAGACATGTAAATATTGCAGAATATATGGCCTTATGCTACATAAGCTAAGCTCCATTTCATCCCAAAGAAACTAAATTGTTAATGTCTCTTAAATAGACAACTATCCTTAGACAAGGTTTTTTTTTCTTTCAAAAGCATTTTATTAAAATAAAACGGGGAAAAGTGGCTACTCTATTTTCTTACCTTCATTTTTAAGTGCTCTGATTTTATTGTATTGCGAACAGTTGCTGGGCTGCATCCACAGTTTCGTTGTACTTGTACAATGACAATAAAGTTGTTCTAATTCTTCTAAAGTTCTTTTAAAAATAAAAACTGATTTTTTTTTTAATTATCTATTTTTATTCACCCCGTTTTGTAGTCCTGCCTAGCAATTCTCTTGCTAAGGAAGGCCAAGTGCATTGCAGCGTGATTTAACAAGTTCTTAAGTGAGTCACTGCAATTTAGAAGTGAATCATGCCGGTGTTTGAGAAATCTGACTCACGTCAGAAACTGACCAGGATGGTCGCAAATGTGGCTCGTGTGACCCAACATCATTGTAAACACATTTCCTGTTGCCGTAGTGTCTGAATTTTGATCGTAAGGGATGCTGTCAGTCACTGTAAATAGGAAGATCAGTCCTTTTGGTGCCAATCTAACTTTTAATAATGGTTAGGTAGAGGGCTGCCCATAGATATTTGCCACTATTGTAAAACTACCCATATACCGTTTCCCCCAAAATATGACCTACCCTGAAAGAAAGCCCTAGCTTGATTTTTAACGTGCGCCCAATATAAGCCCTACTCCCCAAAATAAGCCCTAATTAAGATCCCGCCCACTCCAGAGTGGACAGGTAAAAATTAAGCTAGGGTGGGGATGGAGGGTGGTGGAGCTGCCCTACTCCTTACCTTTGGACAGGTGTAGCCAGGCCTCGCACACCCTGACACCTGCCTTGCCGGTCCATTTCTTCTGCAGCCGGGAAGGCTTTTCTGAAGGCCTCTGGAGCTGGTAAGAAAGCTCTGGATCGATCCTGAAGCTGCAGAGGCCTTCAGGAAAGTCTTGCTGGCCGCAGAAGAACTTCCTGGGGGCCTCTGACAGCAAAAAGGACGCCGGGGACGACGCACACAAGTGAGGTTAGTCAGTGGGTGACGTCCCCTGAAAATAAGACCTGGTGCCCTTTTTTTGTGGCAAAAAATATATACGACAGGGTCTTATTTTGGGGGAAAACATGGTATTGTTAAGTCCACTAATGTCGCTATAGTATAGCATTTGCTTTATCAAGTAATTTCTGTTGTGAGTTCTACTTGGGGGGAGGAGAAAAGGTGAATAAGTGTTGAAGAATTGTGGTTTTTTTTTCTTTCTTTCTCCAGAATCAAAGCCAGACTTGAGGAAACGAAGCCAGAGAGAGTAAAGCCTTTTATGACAGGGGCAGCTGAACAAGTAAAGCACATTCTTGGAAACTTCAAAAATTATCAGGTGGGTTTTAAAAAGGTTGGTTCTTACCCCTCCCCAAATAGATCAAGTCCTGGGTGACCCTAGCGTTAACCTGTAACTTGCTACAGACTGGAAAAACACAAGTTTGTTAAATATCTGGATTTTATTTTTAAATGGTTTGGTGGGGAGGTAGCTTTTTCCACTTGGAAGTCTGACCGAAGAGACCAGATTTTTCTAAATTCTAAGGATCAACCCGATTTAACGTTCTGGGGACCCCACACCAATCTGGCCCCACTGTGTCTTAAAATATGAAACATGTCTGGAGATTTATTTCTGTATGGGGGGGGCGGGGGAATGTCTGAGCCAAGAGCCCAGCTTGTATTTTATCTTTCTAACGCAGCCCCCCCCCCACCTTTTGGACCTCGGGGACCACCAAACTCACAATCTTAAATCATGCAGACACAGAGACCCACTGGGAAAATCCCCCCAAAAGTCTGCAGGAAAATTCCCCGCCTCATTTTCCTACTGATCGATCGTTCTTGATTTGGGATTTGGGATTGCAGGATACCGTCTCCAGCTCTGTTCTCAGGGGGAGAGGGAGAGACTTTTGGCTTCATGCAAGGAAAACAGCAGAGTCTGCAGAAGTCTTTCTTTCTCTCCCCCAAACTCTGCCAGAAATGAGTCTTTTGCCGGCACAGCCTCTTGGAACAGGAGGCCTTGCAGGGTCCCCAAGACTCATTTCTGGCTGAGTTTAGGGGAGAGAAAGAAAGACTTCTGCTGCTTTCGTTGCGTGCAGCCAAAAGCAGAAGAAGAAAGAAGCGGAAAGAAGCAGCCCGGTGGCCAGGCCAGGTGCGTGGGGCAAATTCCCCCTGTCCACCCCTTCCCCCCTCCCCTCACTACCCCGTGTTGTTCTCAGTGCAAGCGATGCAAGCCTTATGTTCCCGCGTAGCCTGGATTCATTGCTTTGGGGGGGACATTTCTCTGCGGACCACCCACATTTTCTCACGGACCACCAGTGGTATCCAGCCCACTGGTTGGCAGCCACTGTTTTAACGCTTTATTTCCTCCTCTAGTTTTTTGTAGGCGAGAATATGAATCCAGACGGCATGGTGGGGCTACTGGACTTCCGCGAAGATGGCGTGACCCCCTATATGATTTTCTTTAAGGATGGATTAGAGATGGAAAAATGCGTAAGTATGGATTGGCCGAGGCGGCCGAGTAAGGAACGCCTTGGCGGGCAGAAAAGAGCCGCTCGCGGCACGGAGGCTTCAGCCGAGTCACAGCCGTTAGAAGAGTAGCGGAGTTGTAACAACAGCCAGTTGGGGGTTTATAAGAAGTATCGGACCGTGATGGTGGACCTACGGCATGCGTGCCAGGGGTGGCAGGCAGAACCTTCTCTGGGCATGCGTGCGATCACCAGTGCTGCTCTGGTTTCTGGCACGTAGAACTCTCTGGGCATGCACACTGGCCAGCTGGTCTTCGCGGGCGCTGAAGTGCACCCAGAAAACAGGCCAGTTTCAGAGAGAGAGAGAGGCAAATGAGAGAGAGACGGAGAAAGAGAGAGACAGAGGTAAATGAGAGAGACAAAGAAGAGGGAGAGACAGACAGACAAATGGACAGGAGAGAGAGGCAAACAAGGGGCAAACAGACAGGAGAGAGATAGAGGCAGAAAGAGAGAGAGACAAACGAGAGAGAGAGAGAGAGAGAGAGAAAGAGAGACAGGTAAATGAGAGAGACAAGAGGGAGAGACAGAGACAGACGAGAGAGAGACAGACAAATGGACAGGAGAGAGAGGCAAACAAGGGGCAAACAGACAGGAGAGAGATAGAGGCAGAAAGAGAGAGAGAGAGAGAGAGATAGAGACAAATAGAAAGAGGGGAAAAAAATCCCTGGAAATACAACTAGGGAGTTGTATGCAGGGCTTAAGAAACTAGAAACGGTGAATAAATAGAAAACACACACGTGCCCATTCTGCATAACTCGAGCGAGGCTCTTCCCTGTCCAGGAGTGTCTGCATTGATGGCTTGGGGTGGATTCTGAGTAACGGGGAGGATGTCCTTCCTTAAGGCCGAGCATCGCCTGATAGGCCGGGAGTGATGCCGTTTCCTCTCCGGCTTGCATTCCGATGCCAGAGTGACCCTCCCTGCGCTTTCTGTCTGCCCTGATTCCCGTAGCAGCTCAGATTGAATAAGGGAGAACATTTTAAGGCGGGGAAGAGAGGGGAATGAAATGCTGATGTTGGCTCAGAAAAAAACAAACTCAGGCTCCTAACTCTCCTTCGTTTCTCGACAGTAACAAGAATTCAAAACCATTCCGAATCATTTTTGTCATCATAATTGGCTGCTGCTCTTTATTCATCGACACAAAACATCATGACTCAACATATGTCTGGAAAAAAACAAAAACAAAAAAACTGGACTGATTGATATCACTTTGAGCTTTAATTTGATTTATTTTGACACCCCCCCCCTGAATTAATTGAAGTGTGGAGAGGCATTGTTGTTGTTTTTTTAAAGAAAAACGAGAAAAAACAAAACAAAACTTGTCTTGTAGGCTGTCTAAAAATAAAAACAAAAACAAAAAAACTTCATTTAAAACCCAGCCTAGGTAATGCCTCTTGGTTTAATGTGTTAAGAGCGGGCTTCTTGTAGCTGTTGCGCATCCGTAGAGTGTGGCCTCCTTAGCGGTTGTGTCTCCAGATCCCAGGACCTCGAAACTGGAAGTTCAATTGGCTACTCCTGAACTACTTTATTTTTTTAGACACTTGTTGGGGTAAAAAAGAGGAAAAAAAAAAACTTCTAACAAAGAAGGCAGCTTGGTTTTCAGAAGCGGACTTTCGACATCTTTTAACAACTCCACAATAACTACTCGGAGGACAAACCCCGGGAGAGGCCTGGATGTGTGGTGTGGCTTTGCACGTTAAACTCAAGCGTTTCACCAGTGAAAGGAGCAAGAGATGGCAATATTATTATTATTATTTTTCCCCAACAAACCTATCCTGATTGAGCAGAGAGTGGGAAGAGAATTCTTGGTTGCGGAAACGAGAATATTTGGGCAAAGAACCGACACATTCTCGAGGCATTGCTTGCGTGTTGTAATACGAAATAACTGTAATTTAAATACATAAGTATAATACCAATTTAATCACAGGTTATTAACTCTGCTGTGTGGTGTATCAATTCCAGCCTGGAGCCCTTAAGTTGGTAGTTTGACTTGGGTAAGCTTGAGCCATGGATCAAAGGGGAGGGAATGGCTTTACACAGTAAGCAACTGTGTCCTTCCTGTTTGACTTGTGCAAAGTTCGAAGTCCTGGAGTTGCGTTTATTCCCCCCCCTCACGCCACCCCCAGGTAGTTAACTTGCAATTGCGGAAGTGGCGGTACGGATCCATATATCACATTAGTTGAGAATGATTATGCCTGGTTTATTAGACCCAGTTATTTCCACCAGGGTTCTGGGCAATCTCGATAATTCTACATGTTCTGAATTGTCCATAATAATAATAATAATAATTAGGCAGGGATTATTTTGCTTCAAAGGAGAGGGGGCAATCTTTGCTCTCTGTTTGGAAGGAAAGGGGGTGCCTGCAACAGAGACACTTGAGATGACAAACTAGGAAATGGAAGTCAACAAAAAACAGGTTTGCGGCATAATGCGTCGGGAAGGGGAGCCACAACAGGACTTAAGTCTTGAGTGCTTATTTTGCAAGTTCACTTGCACGAAGGACTTGTTGCCTGGTGCTTCTGGTAAGCGGAAATGCTCAAAACGTTTCCCATTCCATCAAAACTTCTGGGTAAAAAAACCAGGCTAGAGAGATTGTCTTTCAACCACAACTAACGAGAGCGGTTTTCAGCTCGGCACCCGTAGTAAACTGCATAGGTTTAAGGGTGACCGAGCCCAGATGGAGTTGCTGTTGGATTCTGTGCATCCAGGAGAATTGTTAAAAGGCAGGCAGAGGCGATAAAAAAATAATTTGCAAACGAAAGTGCCTTATTTTAAGGGAATGGCAGTTTGAATTGCTGGTTGAATCAATTTTACTTTTTGCTACGGCCTCGTTTTGCTATAAAGCTTAACCGTTGGTTGATGGGGGGATAGATTAGAGAGTAGGTGGTGGATAGTAGGTAGATCAATTGATGGATCAATAAAGGATCGATGATAGGTGCATCCTTATTTAAATCTATTCAATATGGAAGTCAAGCTATTACAAAAGTGTATTAGGTAGGAGATATAGGTAGATCAATTGATAGGTGCATCCCTATTTAAATCTTAAATATTCAAGTCAAGCTATTAAAAAGTGTATTTTCGGTGTTTCTGAGGGGAATTGCTAGCTGTAATTGACAAGACAGGAAAGCCAAGCACTCCCTGGGTATTTTGTGGCGTTCTGATACTTTCGCTTGTGAGCACCCGTGTTTCAATCGTGCGGATTATTCTAAATAGGCCTACATTCCTCCCCAAAGTAAGAATTCTTTAGAATCCCAACACCTGAAACCTTTGGCTCTTCGGCAAGGTATCACTTTGTGGTTTTTTTCTTAACTCTTAAAACAATTCCGTATGATATGGGTATATTAGAAGATAAATTGGTCATTGGCAGCGTAGGGGTTTTGCGTTAACCAGGAAGAGCAAATACGTGTTCTAGCAGGAGCAAAGGTATTATTGCTGCCAACGTAATAAGAGTCCTTTGAGGAAATACCTTTCGTATAGAAGTGAGGGCATGATAGTTTTATCTGTAGCTTTGCTTTTCTGGGGGTCTTTCATAACCTTTTTGAAAACGATCGTGTGAAAGTTAGCCAGCAGAGTGTAATCGAAACAGTATTATTGGAAAATGGGGTTTTAAAGATTTGCATGTATGTTTTGGCTCAGCTGTGCTACTTTCACTGCCCTCGAAATCACTTGAGGTTGATCTTTTAAACGTTTCCCTTCCCAGCGTAGATGTTGAGGGGTTGTTGTTGGGCTTTTTTTAATTTATTTTTTTGAAGCCTCTGTGACTTATTTCCTTTCCAATTTCTATTCTACGAAGCCCGGGTGCTTGACTGAGGAGGGCTTAATTAAACTGAGAAAAAGGACTTTTTCTATGCATGGGGTAAGCATTTTCAACCCTTGGCAGCCTTTTTGAACCTGAAGTGCTCCGTATTCAAGCAAGCCTTGATTTAAGGACTCTGTGGGGATAAATAGAAGAAAAGTACCAGTGTAAAATCTATTCATCGCATGGGCAGACTTCCTGTTTTGGTGCTTATTCAACACACGAGGTTGGGCTTGGAGCTGAGTCGGGGACCACCGGTGGTCCGCGAGAAAATTTTGGTGATCTGCACAGAAATGTCCCCCCGAAGCAATCCAGGCTGCACGGGAACACAAGGCTGCGCCGCCCACATGGCCCGTGGGAACACAAGCCTTGTGTCGCTTGCATTGTGAACAACAGGGAGCGGAGGGAGCAAAGGGGGGAATCTGCCTCACCTGGCTGCATGGAAGAAAAGCAGCAACGGTCTTTCTCTCCCCCAAACTCCGCCAGAAATGAGTCTTTGGGACCCTGCAAGGCCTCCTGCTCCAAGAGGCTGCGCCGGTGTGAGAAGTCACACAAAGACTCATTTCTGGCGGAATTTGGGGGAGAGAAAGAAAGACTTCTGCAGCTTCTGCTGCTTTCCTTGCATGAAGCCAAAAGTCTCTCCCCCTGAGAACGGAGCTGGAGATGGTATCCTGCCATCCCCAATAAAGAACGATCGATCGGTAGGAAAATGGGGTGGGGGATTTTCCTGCAGACTTTGGGGGAGATTTTCCCAGGGTCTCTGGTCCGTGGGATTTAAAAGTATGAGTTTGGTGGTCCTTGAGGTCCAAAAGGTTGGTGACCCCTGGATTAGTCCAACCCTCTACTCAGGCAGGACTTACATGTAACCTTAAGACGTGTAACCTTCAGGTCAAGAGCCGAGAGAAGTGAGTTAACCTTTGCCGCGACGTCCCAGCTTCCGTTTTTAAATCGGTGGTGCTAAAAATTCATGGAGCTGATTTCAGCTCTTCAGTTTATTGAGCACTTCCAATCGACTTGGTTTTATTTTAATAATCCCTTTGGCAAAGTAGTAACCTTCAACCGGGCCGCGTTTAGTGGGGCATGTCCTTTGCACCCTGCCTTGGATGAAAAGTTGAAGCGCTTGCCATTTGAAAGGAATTTAGACCGCCACATTTTATCAAGTGCTTTTATAGGAAATGTTTTTACTTTTTTCTGCACGTGTGTGGCGGGGGCCGTGAAGCTTCTGCAGTACTGTAGACAATTGCTGGGCTTAAGGGAATAAGCTTTGGTGTAGAGTCTAGCGGATCAAGTATTACAGAACCACAGACACACAGATCTGAAACTCTGCTGCAAAGAAAAATGCTTTCCCACCCCAAATCTTTAGATTTTCACAAATGCAGCTTGAGATTCCCTTGGCTGAAAACTGCTATCCAATCCCGCACCCCATATTCCAGATAAGCTTACCGATGTTAGTTTTGAAATACTCTTGTAGAAGGTCTCTCTATTCACACCCATGTACCTCTTTCTATATATATATATATATGCCACCAATATATATATTTATATGTATATAAAAAAGATTGAAATGGTTTACAACAATTTAAAAGATGTTATAAAAATCCCAAAGAAGTGGGAGGCTTATCGGCCGGCAAAGATCTAAGTGTTTGAAAGACAACTGGGGAATCTTGGGCAGGTTTGAATTGGCCATGAAAGGCAAGAGTTGAGAACAGATTTGGTTAAAAAAAAAGAAAAAGTTACAAGGCCACAAGCACCCATTACACATTCTTCAGTTAGTGGAACCGAAAATAATTTCTCCAAATAGCACGGAATGGGATATTCCATGCTTTTAGTAAGAAATCACTCCCCAAAGTTACATCATTTAGCCCAGCTTATTCCTAGCTTGGTGAGAAGTACCCTGAACAAAATTTCAGGTGCTATTGACAGTAGGGTTACTACAACCCTACCACCAATAGAAGAGGTAGTGTTACTACAACCCTATCACCAATAGTGTTACTACAACCCTATCACCAATGACCCTAACTCTACCAACAGAAGCGAGTTAAAACCCTACCACCAGTAGAGCATTACTACAATCCTGCCACCAATAGAAGAGACAGCCTTACCATCAATAGAAGAGGTAGTGTTACTACAACCTTATCACCAATGAGTTACTACAGTCCTACCACCAATAGAGAATTACTACAACCCTACCACCAACAGAAAAGAGCATTACAACCCTACCACCAGTACAGCCTACAACCCTGCCACCAATATATTACTATAACTCTGCTGCCAATAGAAGAGACAGCCTTACTACACCCTATCACCAATAGAAGCATGTCACTACAACACTACATTGATAGAAGGGAGTGTTACCACAACCCTGCCACCAATAGAAGATAGACTTATGGGTCATAACTCCCTTGGCTTATTCTCCAATCTGCTACACTAAAGAGGTAGGTGCAATTCTGATCTACTATTTGTAGCTCACCCCATAGCAAGCACCGTTTGGCCCACCCATTTCCTCTACATCTGAAGCCTATAGGTGTCAATGTTATCCTTGGTTTAATTAGATCTTGGGGAAGATAGTTGGAGACAAAAGCCATAGGGTTTTTGTGGTCCAGTGGAAGTGTTGCTGTGTGAAGCAGATTTACCCACAAAAGGAGAGTTGATCTCAATGGTGTACTTCTAAGTATTGTCATAGAAAAGAGTTGCTATCAAGGAATCTCTCTTTATCTGTAAGGCTGCAGGCAACTTCTTGTTGTCAACTTGTAAAACATTCCTATGCCGGTTTCCAAGTTTCCATAAGAATGTGTGTGTGTGTGTGTGTGTGTGTGTGTGTGTGTGTGTGTGTATAACCCTGAAGGAGCATACGGCAAATGAACGATGATGTCCAGGCCATGAACATGTTCCGTGGGACAATCTGAATTATGATACACCCAGAGGTACGTATCTCAGAGTCGGCTTCATACCGGTCATGCCAGTATGTCGCTCCTAATAAACCCTTTTTCAAGTTTTTTAAAGTTTGGCTCGAGGCTCATGATTTCATTAGGGCGATTGCTGGAATCCTGACACAAGTGTCTTCCAGGAACTCCACCTATCCTAGTGGCAGTCATCATCTCCCTCTGCCTTGCATCCTTTGGCTTAAGCCCATCATATCTGATGGGTGGGATCCCACAGCTTGTGCCCCTTTCGGACAAGCAAATCGGCGAAACCAATTTTATTGTACCAATGTGGGGCTCTTGAGGCCTGTGGCTAGACAAATATCCCACTTTTAATGGGAAATGCAAAATTTTATTAAGTAGTACCCTGTTTCCCTGAAAATACCACCTACCCTGAAAGTAAGTCCTAGCTTGATTTTTTTTACATGTGTGTCCAATATAAGTCCTACCCCCAAAATAAGCCCTAATTAAGATTCCGCCCAATCGAATGGATGGGTAAAATTTAAGCTAGGATGGGGACGGGGGTGGGTGGGTGGAGTTGCCCTACTACTTACCTTTGGACAGGTGTAGCCAGGCCTCGCACACCCTGACACCTGCCTTGCTGGCCTATCTCTTCTGCAGCCGGCAAGGCTTTCCTGAAGGCCTCTGGAGCTGGTAAGAAAGCTCTGGATCGATCCTGAAGCTGCAGAGGCCTTCAGGAAAGCCTTGCCAGCCACAGAAGAAGTAGTTCGTGAAGGCCTCTGACAGTTAAAAGGAGGCCGGGGGTGACACATGCAAGTGAGGTGAGTCAGTGGAGGACATCTCCCCAAAATAAGACCTGGTGCCTTGGGGGGGGGGAGGGGCAAAAAATAAGACAGGGTCTTATTTTCAGGGAAACATGGTAGAATCAAACTTCTATTTATTCAACTATTTTATTTGAACTTCAACAATTTTATTTGAACTCTGATTAGAACCAATACTTCCAAAAGCAGAAATGATTATTATTATATAATGTTCTTTACATATTGGATACGTTTTTATATAAATTTTAAGAGAAAAAGAAAAACCATTTAAGGAAAAGGAACCATTTTGATACTGTTGGAATAACCAGGAACCGTTGTATGCCGTTGCTACCCTTGGATGTGCAATCTAAGAAATAAAGCTTGACAACTGTCATCACAATTGCCTTCCAATAACTAGGAAATGGTACAGCAGCTATGCCAAGGACTAAATGTCTGCAAATAATTTTAACGCTGCTGACAGACTGGTTATTTTTTATTTTTTTCAAGCCTGGTGATTGCGCTCAGATTGGAACAGATTTAACATTTAAGACTGGGGCAGGTTTGACATTTAAGCCAGCTCTGAAATTACCGCATCATTCAGCTACTAACAGGGGCTGCGAGAGAACCAACGCCATCATGGACCTATACCTCAGATTCTATATTAACGACCAACAGGAGACTTGGATGGCCCTCCTCCCTTTTGTGGAGGTTGCTATCGTAACTCAGTAGCACAGGGTTCACGCCATTAAAAGTGGCCACAGGATAAGGCTTTGTAGCTACCCCCTGAGTAGCAACTCCACTGAAAGAGAGTTATTGGTGAAAAAAGTTTAAAGGAAGCTAGAGAAGCATACAAAAAACAGACTGATAAAAAGCGCATGAAGCCAAAGTTAAGATGGGAGACAAAGTCTATCTCTCTACCAAATTCCTACCATCTAGGCCAGGGGTCGCCAACCTTTTGGACCCCGGGGACCGCCAAACTCACCCCCGCCTCAGGGAGATGGCTAAGGAGGAACCAAGTCATTAAAGAAACAAAAGAAGACTTTTGTAAATCCACGAGACAAGATTCGCTGCCAGTTTGGTCAAGGAGCCAAGCGAAGGAAGACAGGAGAAGAAAAGGTTCTGAAGCCCACCCACTCTTGGGATCCAGACCTGGGGGCTTCCATCCCAGCTTAGTTACAGCAACTGGGTTTGGCTAGTCTAGCGAAAGGGGTGTGGTGGCTCAGGGGCTGAGGTGCTGAGCTTGTCGATCGGAAAGGTTGGCGGTTCGAAACCCCGGCGCCGCATAATGGAGTGAGCTCCCGTTTCTTGTCCCAGCTTCTGCCAACCGAGCAGTTCAAAAGACGTAAAAAAAAAATGCAAACAGAAAAATAGGGACCACCTTTGGTGGGGAGGGAACAGCATTCTGTGCGCCTTCAAAGGCATTTAGCCATGTTGGCCACATGACCACGGACAGCGCTGGCTCTTCTTTGGCTTTGTAACGGAGAGGAACAGCACCCCCTAGAGCCGGAAATGACTAGCACACATGGGTGAGGGGAGCCTTTACCTTTAGTCTCGTGAAAAGACGGACTAGTAGTCTTCCAATAACTAAGGTCAAACTACTATTCTCCAAGGCACCTGAAGGCAGGACAAGAAGCAACATATGCAAACTCATCAAGGAGCGAAGCAACCTGGAATTAAGGAGAAACTTCCTAACAGCGAGAACAATTAACCAGTAGAAGGACTTTCCTACGGAAGTTGTGGCTGCTCCATCGCTGGAGGCTTTTAAGAAGAGATTGGGCAGCCCTTACTCCGAAATGGTCTAGGGTCTCCTGCTTGAGCAGGGGGCTGGACTAGAAGACCTCTGAGGTCCCTTCCAACTCTGTTATTCTTGTGTTTCACCAGCCTTCCAGAACTAATTTTGAAGGCTGCAAGAGAAACACCAGATGATTTGAGTTCTCAACAGAACGTTGCGTTATGTCCAGAATTGTCTCCTTTTGCAATTCGGTTTTTTTTTTCCCCCTTCCTTTCAACTAGCAGTTTGTCTAAATACAAAGTTTCTTCTACTTGGCTTATTCTAAAAACTATTTATGATCAACCAAAAAATGTGTCCAACTTCTAATTATTCTGATAAACAACCAGGTAAAGGCTATTCCCCCATCCCAGAGTACTGTACGTTCTTGGAAAACAGTTTTCAAAAGTGTAGCTGTGTCATTTGCAACAAAAACACAAGTATAACTTAAATCCCTAGAGGTAAACAATTTTTTAGAATAAATGTATTCATTTGTCTTTCAACTATTATCAGATTTCTCTATTGTTCAATATATGGACTGACTCAAGAGGCTAGTCGTAAATAGGATAAACTCAGCCTGGGATTAAATAAAACTTCTACTCGATTTATTAACATGATTACATTTTTATAAAATGCAAGATTACAAGAAAGGGGCATAAGTTAAAAACCCAAATACAAGTTTATTCTATAAATAATTTGTAGGCAATAAAGATACCACAAAAAAAGTTAGGTAGCATTCCAGAAAAAATCCTTTAAAAGCATTGAAGACAGGGCTGATTAGAAAAACTTACTCTTTTCAATGGTGAATTGTTTTTGTTTTTCCTGCTTTCAAAATTGAGACCGCTTCCTGGCTGCTAATCGCTTTTATCTTCATTTTGATAATGCCTGTATTCTGGTTTAAGTTCCCAAGTACTTTTGTGTGGCCCCTTAAAATTGTAGATGCCAATTTCTCTCAAAATCTCCTTTAAATAGATCTGAAAGCAAGCAAGAGAGATTGACTGAACAACATGGTATGAACACAGGAAGTACGTTATGTTGAATCCAACATATTCCCCTTATTCCAGACCAAAAGCCATCTCCCTTTGAAGATATACATTTACACCAAGTTGAAGTGGGAGGTTAATACATTTTTCTTCTTCCTCTGAATTAAAAGGGGGGGATTGTAGGGGGAAGGAAGTTGAGAAGTGGTTTTCTATACCCCTAGTGAAGCTGGTGAGCTCAGTAGCTCAACATAATTCATTATCAACATCATATTTCATTATCAATTGTCAACACGATATAAACTTCACCCAAATCACCCATAATTCAGATGACAGGGTCCATATTTACCAGCTGTGGCAAATTGTTACAGGTGGTTGGTGTGGATTATATAATTATCTAAATAATTTCTAATGTTCTATATCATCTATCTATCTATCTATCTATCTATCTATCTCTATGTATAACTGTCTGTCTGTCTGTCTGTCTGTCTGTCTGTCTGTCTCTATCTATCTATCTATCTATCTATCTATCTATCTATCTATCTATCTATCTATCTATCTATCCATCCATCCATCTCTATCATCTACCATTTTTATTGTCTGTTCTCTTTCTCGCCCTTTATCATCTACCTACCTACCTACCTATCTGTGACATAATAGCAGTGTTCCAATATCTCAGGGATTGCCACAAGGAAGAGGTAAGTTCTCCAAAGCACCAGAAATCAGAACAAGAAACAACGGATGGAAACTAATCAAGGAGAGAAGCAACTTAGAACTAAGGAGAAATTTCCTGACAGTGAGAACAATGAATCAGTGGAACAGCTTGCATTCAGAAGTTGTAAATGCTCCAACACTGGAAGTTTTTAACAAGAGATTGGACAACCAATGCCTGAGCAAGAGGTTGGACTAGAAGACCTCTAAGATCCTTTCCAACTCTGTTATTTTGTAATTTCCAATGCAGTAAATATTCATTTATAGAGAACAGAAATAGAATAACAGAATTGTGAGGGACCTTGGAGGTCTTCTAGTCCAACCCCCTGCTTAGGCAGGAAACCCTACACCATTTCAGACAAGTGGCTGATGATGATGGAGGAGGAGGAGGAGGAGGAGGAGGAAAGGAAGGAAGGAAGGAAGGAAGGAAGGAAGGAAGGAAGGAAGGAAGGAAGGAAGGAAGGAAGGAAAGATATAAATCTTTTTAACATGTGGCTTAATAGCAGCCAGCTGGATCTTCACTGCAAGCGCTTCCTCTGCCCATTTCCAGAATGGTTGCGGATTCAAAGCAGCAAAGGCTGAAGAAGATGTGGGAATTCTCTGTGTCTTACTTAGGGGTGCCAGTTCTCCAAATATTTAAAGCAGTTAGTCCCCTTTAACAAGTTGAACAAAGCAGTGAAAAACAAAACAAAACACGAACCTCTCTCTCCAAGTATGGCTCACACAGTATTGCAACAACCCCCACGAGGTGGCAGCAATTGACCACGAGTCCAAAATAAAAAATCTGGGCGGGCAAAAAACAGAAAAGGATCTTCTCAAAAGGAGAAACTGGATAGTTCAAGATCAAGGGAGGTACTAATCCAACTCTGTAAAGCCTTAGTAAGACCACACCTAGAATCCTGCATCCAGTTTTGGTCACCAAACTTACGAAAAAGATGTGGAGGCTCTGGAAAGAGTGCAGAGAAGAGCAACCAGGATGATGAGGGGACTGGAGGCTAAAACATATGAAGAACGGTTGCAGGAACTGGGCCTGGCTAGTCTAGGGAAGAGAAGGACCAGGGGAGACAGGAGAGCATCTTCCAATATTGGAGGGGCTGCCACAGAGAGGAGGAAGGGGTCAAGCTATTCTCCAAAGCACCCAAAGGCCAGACAAGGAATAATGGATGGAAACTGAACAAGGAGAGAGTCAACCTGGAAATAAGGAGGAATTTTCAGACAGTGAGAACAATCAACCGATGGAACCGAAGTTGCCCTCGGAAGTTGTGGGAGCTTCACCACTGGAGGCTTTCAAGAAGAGACTGGAAGAGATCTGTCAGGAATGCTGTAGGGTCTCCTGCTTGGGCTGGGGGTTGGACTAGATGACCTACAAGGTCCCTCCCAACTCTGTCTATCTGTATCTTGTTCAGGCATCCTTGTTCTTTTTCCCAACTCTAGAATGTTTAATCGGGATTTCTTCTGACTGGAAGAAGACTCCACTGGGGTAGGGGATAGCAAGGCTATGCTACCCAAAACAAAACGTCTCTCGGCCAGGGAGTCCTCGGCTTATGGCCACAATTGAGCCTTCAAATTTATGTTGCTCAGCGAGACAAGAAGCAACAGATGGAAACTAATCCAGGAGAGAAGCAACCTGGAATTAAGGAGAAACGTCCTACAGTGAGGACAATTAACCCGTGGAACAGAAGCTGCCTCCAGAAACTGTGGTGGCTCCAACTCTGGAGTCTTTCAAGGAAATGTTGGACATTTGTCCAATCCTTTGTCTGCAATGGAATAACACGGTAGGTTAGGACTAGAAGACCTCCCAAGTCCCTTCTAACCCTGGGCTTCCATGACTCTATGATCTTCCCGCACAACTGCAATGCAGGAAGATCTCCTGCAGCAGCTTCCATAGGAAGAGACAGCTGACTTCATCTCTTTTGTTAAACCGTTTTTCAAAGGAGGCTAATCAGGTTTTTCAGAAGAGATTCTGGACAGCCAGAATCTCTCACTGTCTTTCTTTCTCTTCCTTTTTCTCTGTCTGTCTGTCTGTCTGTCTCTCTCTTTTTCCCCTCTCTCTTTCTCCCTTTCTCTTTCTCTCTCTGTCTTTCTGTCTCTCTCTCTCTTTCTTTCTTTCTCTCTCTGTCTGTCTGTCTCTTTCTCTTTCTTTCTCTTTTTTCTTCCTCTCTTTTTCTGTGT